AAGTTTTGTAAAAAGTATGACTCCTTCTAACGCCGCAAAAATGTCATCAATCCTAGGTAGTGGATAACAAACATCAACTAAAGATTTATTAAGTGTGACTTTCTAGTCACCACAAATCCTGATGTCACCATTCGGCTTAACCCTCAGCGCACACACTGGGTGAATTTCACCCAGCGCGATTTTTCGGCGGTTCGGCATTTAAAAATGGAAGGAGGTTGGGGCTTGGGAGTGGGGGGAAAAAACTTATGCCCCACCACTACGCGCACACCGAGTTTCAGCTTCAGTGTCCCAAAATTCGTTAAATGGGAAATATCGAAAGTTTCTCAGCGGGTGAATTTCACCCAGTGTGTGCGTTGTGTTCCAAATTCCACGTAAGTACAGACATCGTGTTAGTTTGAAATTTTAATTGACCCCCTTTTTCGAGTTTTTACATGTGACATATCATTGTTTTCATAGAAAAGGCGCCAATATGCTGACGCGGGCCCTTGTGAAGCCATTTCTGGTTAGGAGATTGTTGTTACCATCGTTGCAAATGCAATTGCGGTTGCAAATTGAACAATTCGTAAACTACCAAGATAGGCCTGAAATGGACGACCCAAAAGACTTTTCACTTGAGAACAAAGTGTCTAAACACAAAAAACAAAGAATTTGAGCCCCAAAATGCATTACTCTATACCACACTTTACCCGCAACAACGAAAAAATTGACCCATTTTCAAATGACTAAAAAAATATACTTTTTAGAGAGTACGGTTAAACTGCCATTAAAATCTGAAATTTCGTACCCTGAACTCTCGAAAAAATGATTTCTTTTGTAGATTGATCACTTTTTTTCATTTTAATAACAATTTTTGAAAAAAAGTGACTTTTTCATGAACACCAATCAGTTTTTTACGAATTAAAGTATGAAAAATTGAATTTAAAACTTCACAGCTTATACCATAATATTCTTGAGAAAATTCTCCATATTACAAAAAAAAAGTTTTTGAAAATCGGACAATTACAAGTAAAGTTATTAACAGGCAAAGTCGAATGGGTGAAAAACACCCAGTGTGTGCGTTATGTTAAAAAACAGAGGTGTGTGCGCTGAGGGTTAAGAATAGGAACTAATGGTGTAGCCCAGTCTGAGCTATCTACGCGTTCTAGCACTCCTTGTTCTGCCAAAGAACGAAGAAGAGTTTCTTTTCAATCTTATCTTTCCAGGCTAGTGGTAATTGTCTTGGCTTAAAAAATATGGGTTTACTGTCTTTCTCCAACATTAAATTTACTTTGTTGACTTTATAAGCTCCTATGCCAGACTCAAAAACCTCAGAAAACTCTGATTTAATTTGTTCAGTAATGACTGATTTCTGGGTGTTTATTGAATTTACTTGAACTAACTCAAAGTTGAAAATTCTCAGAAACGATCTACCAAGTAAGGGTGGACTCATCGAATTCGTAACTACAATCATAATTTCTTTCTTGGTACCTCTATATTCAAATGTTGCATCGTACTCACCCACAACTTTAATCAAATCACCATTATAATCGACATAAGGTGTGCGACATTTTCTCAATGGTTTTTTATTCTTCAAACTCTTGTAAAACGACAGCGAAACCAGTGTACAGGGTGCTCCTGTGTCGCATGCAACTTTCATTTGACATCCATCAATAATAACGTTTAAAAAATAAACTTCACCAGATGAGGCTGAGACCACACTATAGATAGAAAAATTAAAGTTATTTATTTCAGAATCAGAATCATAAATTTGTGAATTATAATTTTGTACAAAACCAATAGAATTATCTGATTTCAATCTGCAGACTGTTGATAAATGTCCAATTTTTCCACAAGTGTGACAACTGCTCCTCTTGTACTTGCATTCGTCAGAAATATGATTTCTCCAGCCACAGTGTGCACACGCCTTTCGCTGCTTTTCGCCTCTGCTTCCATAAACGTCGCTGCCAGCGTTTCTCTGCCTCGATCCATGCTGCCCTTGCTTGCCCTTGAATTTTCTCTCGTATCCATCATTTTCGCTATTCTGCCTTTGCCCATGCCTAGTTCCGTTGTTTCGCCTTACAAAGTTGACGCTGTCTTCGTTCTTCTTTGCGATGATTTTCGTCTCAAGTATCATGGCTTTCCTGAGTGCATCGGCAACAGTTATCTTCTCATCCTCTTCACATATTCTTTCGAAAATTGGTATAGGAAGACTCATGATAAACTGATTTAAAACAAAAGCTTCCAAATATTGGCCAAATTTGCAATTAAGTGCCAATTGCTTTACCCGGGAATACCACTCTGCAACAGTTTCACCTTCATTTTTCTCAGACTCATGAAATTTTTTTCTTTCTCGAAATACGAGAGTCGGTGGTGTATAATGAGTTGTGAGTATTCCGCAAAGCTCTTTATATGTTTTTGAAACAGGCGAGTCAGGACTGCACAAGTTGTGTACGACACTATATGGACCCGCACCAATTGACTTCAACAATGTTGCTTTTTTTGCATTGTCTTCAGTAATGTTTGGTTCGCAAAAATTAATATCCAGCTTTTCCTTCCAAATTAGGAATGTCTCTCGGCTCGGCAACAATTCTGGGACTGCAGACATTTGGTAAACTGTGGGTGCTGTCGCTGCGACCACTGTGATGGTTGGTTGAGCTTTATTGTCCGAAACCGACATTGTATTGTAATTTTGATTTACGTTTCGTAATACGATTCACTGTGTTTTATTTTTTTATTTTTGCAATCCGTTTTGTCCTCGTCGCCAAATATGTTGTGTATTTACACCAAATAATACGTGTGTTTCCGAAGACGATCTCAGTTCAAGTGTGTTTTATTATATGTCAAAGCTTACAATCCAAAATTAAGTATCTAACATTTGTGTTAACCATTCTATAATAATAATATAATCTTATGTATGTATTGATCTTGGAACTTAAGTGGTACGAATATCCAACAATGGTGAATAAAGCCAGGAGTGTGCTTGGATTTATAAAAAGGTGGTCAAAGGAATTTGAAGACCCTTGCATAACTAAAAATTTATTTATTTCGCTTGTCCGTCCCAATCTTGAATATGGATCACCGGTCTGGAATCCCCAATACGGAGTTCATTCGAATCGTATTGAATCGGTTCAAAAAAATTGTTTACTTTTTGCCCTACGCCGCCTAAATTGGGATGCAAACCTCTTATTCTAGCAGACTACTTATAATTAACTTACCCTCCCTAGCAAACCGTAGTTTGGAACAGTTTTTATGTTTATTCTTATTTGTGGTAAAATTGATAGCCCCGACTTAGTTAGTAGGCTAAACTTTTCTGTTCCAAGTAGATTAACCAGAAATTACATCCCCCTAATTTTAAATCAATGTAGATCTAACTATAAACTGCATGAACCTTACAGAGTATTATATTCTGACTATAATAGAGTTTATCCTATTATATCAATTTCTGACTCTCTGCCGCTCTTAAATCGATCTCTTCTAACTTTTTTAGCTCATAATTAGATCTAATTGTTTTCCTCCTAATTTTCCTCGGCCTTTTCTTATTTTTTTAAGTCGCGACTCTTTTCTTGTGAACCTCGGTCGGTTGGGCGGGAGGTTGTGGCCGTAAGATACGCGCGCAACAAAAAAACAAAAAAAAATGTCGTTTTAAAGGTGATTCCAATACCTTTCAAACGATATACAGCATTGCCAGATACGATTATATTTGACTTCACAAGCGAAGCGCGAATTTTGAATGTAAAAACCGGTATGTCATTACCAAACAACCTAATATATCCATTTCCATTATTTACACAATTTTATTACTGATGTGCCAGCACAGCGAGTTCCGCTCACTTTCGTTACCAAAACTAGATTGCCCCGATCTCATCGATCCTCGTTTTATATATTGTCAGCCTACATATATTGTCATCTCTTTCAATATCAGGACTTTTGGTTCACTCATCAGCAGAGACCGCCAGCGTCTCTGTTGATATGCTTTACGCGTAAATCCTTGTACTTCCCCGAATTTCAACCCGACAATTCGCCAGCAGAGACTGCCACCTTCTCTGCTGCCATGCCTTTCTCATGAATCCTTACTTACTTCGCCGAATTTCTTTCCCCCACTTGCCAGCAGAGGCTGCTACCGACTCTGCTGCTATGCCTTTAGCATTAATTCGGTGCTTCCTCGAATCTCTTTTCGACACGGCCATTCCTGACCTATCACACGTCCCTGTGTGTTGAATTTCTAGATTTTCCAAACTAATAATTCTAACTCTCAATTTTAACTTATTCAGTGAATTCTCTTATTCAGTTACAAACTAAATGAATCGCTTTTCACAAACAATTTCGACATCATCAATTATTTCAATAATTCCTCGCTTGCATACTTTAAATTTTGTTAATCAATTTCAATCATCATCGCCGTGCAACTATGTACATATATGCACCAGGTCACCAAGACCTCCGCCATAACACTGTTCGACCCTGCGAGACAGCTTATGTATATACTCCGGCCAATATTTCCATGCAAATTCATGCACCAGGTCACCAAGTTTTGGTGACCAAGACCTCCGCATTAACACTGTTCGACTCTTCGAGACAGCTACTATACTGCGGCCAACATATCCGTGCAAGTCCATGCACCAGGTCACCAAGACCTCCGCTATAACACTGCTCGACCCTGCAAGACAGCTATGTACATATGCTTAAAAAAACCATGCACATATGTATGTATGAATGTAAGTACCTATGTATGTATGTACATACACATGAACATATCTATGTATGCTTATTAAAGAAGTTACCACGATTTGTATACTAACTTTTTCAGTTGTCCTATAGATTTTTTCCAGAACTACATTAAATTTTTTAAAATACCGAATATACCTTTTACCCTAAAATAAATCAGCACAAAATATTATTTTAGAGGGGAAAGCTCTTATGGCAACGATTAAGTATGGCCTTCACGTATGGGAAGCTTACAAAACAGACCACCCACTATAATACTGACCAACTGCATAGTTTAGTTATGGACCAGTGTATGCTTAGAATTGAAATCAATTTTATTAACATAATAATAGTCAGTTTATGTAAAATAAAAACATTTTTAACAATTTATTAAACAGAACATTTCAATACTATTTATTTGTTGGTGCATGATGAAAATCTACTCAATTTTCTCACACTGACCACGAACCGTAGTTCATATACTAATTTTTAAATAGTTAATTGGCAGTCACTCTGCTATTCATATAGAATTGTTGTGCGGAGAGCAACAATGTCAACACGTAGATGCATGCTGCAATCCAGCAGTTGTAGGCGTTCTAAAAAAAAAAAACAAATACAGCAAAAATGTTTGGCGAAGTAAAAACCCTGAGCGTTACGGGTAACAACTTACCTGATTGTACGCCCTGTTGGCAGCTGTATAAAAATCTTCCAAGGAATGGTAATCCTCTTCTAGGGGTAAATCCTCAATTAAAGCTACACTATTTATGTAGAAAAAGAGGCCCATTAGCACCTAAAATTAATAATATGTATTATATTTGATTTATTAGAACAATTGACACTTTGTGACTCAACAAGAATTTTTGTATACTAACCAATTGAACAATGCCCCAAACAGATATAATCAAACCGCAGAGGGATAACTTGGGCCCACAGATTTTCATTTTTAACTCTTTTGTCGAATGCGCTTTAAAAAGTAATACCCACTTCAACGAAGCCTAACGATTATACTTTTACAATGAAAGCGAAAACCAATCCAAACAACTTGTCAGGTGAATATCATGTGACAAAACTCCAGTGGGGCCTTGCACGATTGATTACAAAACGATAAAAAAAAATACTGCTTTAATAATACTAAACATTTATCAATGGGAAATATATTTTTACAGACAAGCTCCACTGCAAAATGTTTCTTTACATCTATCTTATTTTCACAGACCACTATCGATTTGCGGGATGCTCTATAATGTCATAGTCCCACCCAACACTGTCCACCATCCAGTTTTTTTGTGGTTCAGAAATCAACTTTCCTAACACAAAATGTCTATTTTATATAAATGGTTTTCTGTGAAATTAAAATTTTTTAGGTCTACATTATAAACTTAACTGCTTTTTTTTCTTAATATATAAAATTTATATTAATATTTTTTTAAATCTTAGTCAACAAGTTGTTAACTGTTAAAACCCTGTTATTAGTTAACAAAAAACATCTACAATAAAAATTTACTGTTGATATAAGTTAACTAAACTAATCGGACAATAAGTCCGAAACTGTGGAACGGATACTATGTTGACCCAGTATTGGAATGGACGCCCAGACGGCCAGCTCAGCATATTTGCTCAGCTGTTGTCAGAAAACTTTTTGTTAGCTTTTAGTTTCGATGTATTTCTATATTCAGTCCTGGCTTAATATATAGACCGAGCAGATTAATATAAATTATCGTAATTTAATATAACAAATTTGACTTGGTAAAGTTGCGCTTTAGGGGCTTTTGCTAAAAATGACACTGAATTTATTCCTCTTCCGTTAATAAGGTCTACCTTGGGGTAAAAACATTTTTAAAAGGGTTTCGTATGACGTGATTTGTAGTTATTTATGTAGTAGTCTTTAGTTTAAATCTTCATTTTTAAGCTTTTTCACATGTGTTCTCTTCCAAGTTTAGGCCAAAAAGTAGGTATACCATCCTTTGCTTATTGATAACTTCTTGAATAACAATTACATATATGGTAACTCTTAATACTACCAACCTGTTACGACTGGTAACTCTTAATTCTACCAGCCTGCTACAACTCGGCCATCCTGATTTTGAGATAGCCCTCTATCTCCTGTTAACATTATCTCGTACATCAATAGATGAATTTATTTTTCTTAACCAATGTCTAACATTTTGCGTACTCCACACGCCTTGGTAAGGATTTCGAGCTAACTGAAAGCCATCAATGTCTTTGATCAAATATCGATCGTTTTTTAATATCTTATCAATAACATAAGCCCCTTACTTTTTGGTAACAGTTTTCTTGCTACTCCTGCCGAGCTATTAAAATTTTTTACCATAATATAGTCTCCTGTATTGAATTTATTTGGATCTTTTCTTTTGCTATTATGATAATCCTCATTCTTTGACTGTGCTAATACCTGATTTTGTTTTGCTTCCTTTCTGATCTTGCCCAAATCTCTTTCACACTTTACACCTACACAGTTTTCCTCTTCTAGCTTTTGTTTTAGCTCATCACTTATTTCCCCTTTCTGTTGTAATCCAAACAACATTTGATGTATTGTATTATTCAATGTGTATTCAATTTGTTCGATAACCTTATCCCAATGCTGCCCGTCTTTCGCCTCAGTAAGTTTGCTTAACATAGGACCTAAACTTCTGTTAACCCGCTCCACCTGTCCATTAGCTTGAGGCGATCCCGTTGCAACTTTAATGTGCTTTATATTCGCGTCACTTAAAAACTTTTCGAATTCCCCCGAAGTAAAACCACTACCTCTATCTGACACTATGCAACTCGGTTTGCTATGATCGAAAATAGTCTCTTAATATATAATCTTAAAAATTTCGTACACCCATCTACTACTGCAAATATATATTTCTTTGATCTACTCTTATCCACTGGTCCATAATGGTCAATATGAATAATATCAAATGGTTTATTACCTTTGGGGATGCTATGTAATACCCCACATTCTTTGCCTGCATTGGATGAAAACGCAATCCACTTTAAACAATTTTCTATATGACCTAATGATTTGACTTTCATGTTCGGAAACCAATATGTCTTCATCATTGCAATAATCATTTTATCCCTACCAACATGTCCCAATTCATCATGATACTTATACATAACGTGATCCTCCATAGCTGTTAGTTCATAATATGTATAATATCCTGCCATCATTAGTTTTCCTATATATTACCCCATTTCTCATTTCAAACAATTTCAGATCACCTTTCTCTAACAATTTTCTAATCTTTTGTATTTTTATATCCTTTGTTTGAAAAATTAATAAAATTTGTTTCTCAACTATTCGTTTCTGTTATCATAATTGTATTATAACATCTCGACAAAGCATCGACGTGCTGCATTCTGCTTCCAACTCTATGAACGATTTCATAATCAAATTCTTGTAACTCCAACGCCCACCTGCTATCCTTGGATTTAAATCAATTTTATTTAAAGTCAAAGCTAATGAGTTACAATCAGTATCAATTTTAAAACGTTTTCCCTGAAAATATATTCTAAATCTTCTTAAAGCATAGATTATCGCTAAAGTTTCTCACTCAAAGCTATGGTACTTTGCTTATGTTTCTGATGTGGGCTTCGAAAAATAAAAAATAGGACGAAATTTTTCGTCTGCCTTTTTCTGAAAAAGAACCGCTCCAAAACCCAAAGCACTGGCATCACAATGAAATTCAATATCATCTCTATGATCATAAATTGACAAAACTGGCGCTTGTAACAATTTTTCTTTTAAACATTAAATACAATTAAGCTCCTTTTCACCAAAATAGAGGTTTTGCAACAATAGAACAATTTTTAATAAACCTTCTGAAATAAGAACATAATCCTAGAAAACTCTGCACTGATTGAACTTCATCAGGCATAGGAAAATTCTTAATAGCTTCTAAGCCCTTATCATCAGCTCAAATACAACCTTTAGATATATGAAACCCCAAATATTTAACACAATCCTGCATAAACTCACATTTATCTAACCTTAATTATATTCTATTTTTTCCTATAAGTTTATCTAACAAATCGTCTATTAAAGGCAACGGGTAATTATCTCTAACCATAATTTTATTAAAAAAAAAAAAATAATAATAATTTTACTAAGCCTTCTAAAATCTACACACATTCTTAAATCTCCCGTTTCTTCTTTACTAAAACAATTGCTGAGGCATAATCTGAACTACTGGGTTGTATAATACCCTCTTTTAGGTATTCATCTAACATAGGTAAGTTGTACAATAGTTAGTCTTCTAGGTGAACAACTAAATAGTTTTTCTTTTTCTTAAGTAATTTTCATTTTTATTTTTTCTCGCCCCTAATCTTGGGATTTGCTTGCTTCTTTGCATTTATATATGTGCTTTCTAACATTTTTATAAATTTTGCTCTTAATGCATAATCCACTTGTGCCCCAATCTTGTATTCTCTTTCAGAATTCACTACATTAATTTGCATCATGCTACTTTGAAAATTTTTTTCTAACACTCCTCTAACTAATTCTTTTGACTTGACTATTTACTAGCTAACAATCTGTTTTCCAACAATCTACTGTGGTCTTTACCATCTAATAGACTTTCAGTACGCTCATTATCATTCACATCAAGTTCACTTAAAGATAATTTTATACCATAAAGTTCCATAAAATCGCTACCTAATACAATATTTCGCGGACTGGCTGAGGGCCGTTGTGCCCCAGTTAAGAGCGTGGAAGGGCGTGCCCCTAGGAACTAAGGTAGGAGAGGACATCCCCGCGGCATTCAATGTCACGGTCTTCTGCCCCAGAAGCGCGGAGAGAAGTAATGAGGATCTCCTCATGATGTTCGGGCGCCAGAACAGGCTGGAGACGGACGCTTGGAAAGTGATCTCCCGTAAGAACGATGGAGGCCGGGCACTCCTAGTCATCGGGATCGACCAGCTCACCCGAGACGAGATCGTCTCTAAGGGGCACCAGCTAAACTTTAGATTCGGCACCGTCTCGGTGAGCGGTCTAAGAAGAGCGGAAAAGAAGGCCGCGGCAGACGAAGCGCCCTCTGGCCCCACAGTTGGCAAAGTGGTGGTCGAGGATTCCCTCGACGAGCCACAAGAGCCTGTGTGCTCAGAAAAGGGCTCAATCACAGACGGGAGGAGTGAGGATGAGGAGCATCCCACCTCACAGGGCACTGCCCAGGATCCCTCCCTGAATACCAGCTGTGAGATGGAGGCCGACGTCACACTGACGGAAGGCAGTGAAGGGGAATGTCCGCCCCCTTCACCAACTTTGGAGCATCCGCTATGATGGCTGCAAACAGTAGCAAAAAGCTAGCTCAGGTGAACTTACACCGGGCCAAGGCGGCATCAGCCGTCCTGGCCAGGCTGTACACCACTCAACATCTCGGGCTAGCTCTTATACAGGAGCCTTGGTGTAACCAGGGCATTAAAGGCCTGTACACCAAGGAAACAAAGGTAATATGCGATCAAAGGGGAGCACACCCAAGAGCATGCATATTAATAAGAAAAGATATCAATTATAATATCTTTTCAGAGTTTCTAAGCGGTGACTGTGTCGCGGTAACGGTGAGCGGCACAGGAAAGTTACCAGCGATCGCCATAGCGTCGGCGTATTTTGCTGGGGATGCAGCATGCCCACCACCGGAAATCATCGGACTCGTGGAATGCAGCAGGAAGAAGAAGATACCCCTGATCATAGGATGTGACGCCAATGCACATCACGTGATATGGGGAAGCACCGACACCTCAACAACAGAGGTTAGCAGCTCATAGATTTCATTATAAATATTAACCTAGAAATAGGCAATGTCGGGTCCACACCTAGACAAAACACTGTTGAGCAGGTCTCTAGAACCACTTATCAAGAACTGGCATGTGTCGCCAGAGGAATCAATGTCGGATCACCGAATCATTAGATTTGAATTAGACTTCAACACCGCTTGGGGCGACCCCAAAAGAAATCCCAAGAAAACAAACTGCGATTGGTTCAAGTCCTCTCTTGAGCTCAATCTCGCTAACGAACTGTTAGGTATACCCAGACATTCTTTAGAATTAGATCAGGCAGTGGATAACCTCTGCA